CACTGGTATTCTACCACCCCCTATACATCTTGAAAACAGATTTGAAGGGTTAATGAATGCGGATGAGGAATCCCCAAATGTGATTAGACATGGATCGGATCAGCCAGCAGCTAGCATCGCTACTAACAGGCGCTTGAGGTCAAACAAACAGCGGTTTTCAGCTCAGAGCACAGCCGAGCCCAGGACTCTGATAGTGGGCAACTCCATTATTAGAAACATCAGTAGTAGGACTACAACTACATGCTGCTTTCCTCAAGCAACCATCTCTGATGTGAACAGGGAACTTCAGAACATTCATGAAGCACAAGACTGCAAATCGTTATTATATGATGCAATCAAACTTATAGCAAAATGTGGTAGTTCTGTATGTTGTTTCAGGGTTGGCATCATCTGAGGTCCTCTGAGGGGTTGGCATCATCTCTTCTCAGGTGTTCTTGATCCAGACTGAAGCTTGTGTAAATCCAAGGTGCAAAAACAGAGAAACAAATAGAGACATAATTAGCGTAGCTAACCAGTTTCAACCAAGCAAAATTGATTTGTTTAACCAAAGCTAAAAAATTATAATGCGCATTTGATCAGATATACAGTAACTGCAGTACTAGATTATGAGATGCATTATTTGAATGTTTGGCCACAGAGATGTGTCTTTAATCTAGATTTAAACAGAGAGAGTGTGTCTGAACCCTGAACGTTATCAGGAAGGCTATTCCAGAGTTTGGGAGCCAAATGCGAAAAAGCTCTACCTCCTTTACTGGACTTTGCTATCCTAATGAGAACTGACTGCATTGTATTTCATGTATAATTATTTTCTATTTTTAACGGTTTTAAATTAATTTAAAATACATTTTTAACCTGTTAACCCGCACCTGGACACCGGCGCACTGAACGCTGTTTGTTTGCACGTGTCAATGTTTACGAATAGATTAAATGAAAAGGGACATAATTAATCTTGACAAACAATATATCATTATAAAGGTCTAAGCCTCAGGCATCGAAGATAGATCGCTGTTTTTCAATGGAAATAAGGAATGTATTTGCTAAATTTGTGTAAGCAGTACACATCAAAACATGCATAATCAAAACGCAGTACTTACCAGATTCATCGTAATAAGAGTCATAAACGCATCCACAGCTGTAAATCCCGGTTTAGTTAGAAAGGTAAGCCCATAGAGCACTTTTAGTCCAACGAAGCAACAAAATGGATGGTAATTCCTTTGTTTACGTCTCATTTCTTCAAGAAGAGTTATTGCTTGTATCCGTTATGGAATAACTTACGCTCAAAAAACTGCATCTTGGTAGTAAAAAACAAGATGAATTTGTAGCATACAGTGTCACAAACAGAATGAGACCATCCACTAAAAAAAAAGTCAAAGATACGCGGAATATTGTTTATTTGAATTCTGGCCCTCACCTGCACTCAAAGGTAGACACACATCCGCCATTAAAGCAAGTAACAGTGAGTAAAACAATGGTAATGTGTGTGAATAGAGTATTAGCAATGTAAGCGAGATTAGCGGCAACCACGCTGGCGATGCTAACGGGCTATAAGCTAATAGCGGACTCGGGAAATCAAAATAAAACTAGTGATAACAAGGCGCACTGATTGTTTTTGTTGTAGAATACGATAGGGTATATATTCACACATTATAGAAACGAAAATGATGGTGTATAAAATTGATTTTAACATAAAAAAAATAGACGATAAAGAATTAACTCAAAACACACGGCAGCAACAAACAGGAAGTGACGTATTTCCTTATCCGGCCATCTGTATGATTACCAGCTGTATGACCGGCCATCAGCATGTGATTACTGACTGTATGAGCAGCTATCAGTGTGAATGCTGCTGGCATACATAGTTAATTATTTTTTTCTTATTTCTTTTTATTACTCATAAATTATTCTTATTGTATTTTTCTAGTGCTCAAATAAATCACTTATACGATGTCTAAGATTCTGTCTATTGTTTTATAATTGAAAAACATTATGCAGTGGTGTGTATAATGACTAAAATATTTTGTAGAACCCTTCAATACATTTGGTAAATATTTTTCCTCAAACAGGGGGAGGGGAACTAGACATAGTCTCAGAAAAATGGTTGCAGGGATCTCATTTTTCATGGTATATTCTTCAGATTTGAAATATAAACTCATGAGACATATGACTTTCAACCCATTACTTTTCTGGATTGCACCAGGACTGATTTCATGTATTTTTATATTAAATTTAAAAAAAATTCAGTGTGGTACAATTTTTTTCAAGGCACTTCAGTGTCTATAAGTTTTTATCTTTTTGAGCATTATCAACTCTGGATGATGGATAGTAAAGCCCAAAGGGTCTTCTTTCCAAAGATACCTAAATTGTGTGTGTGTAACACACTGAAGTCAGGAACTGTTACCAATTTAAGTTAGGTAGGTCATTTTTAGCTGTGAGTCCCAAAATGGGGGGTGCAGGTTAACAGGTTAAATCATTTTCAAAGTTTTTAAATTCCTTGTTTTATTGTTGTGATTATTTTTTCTTATAATTTTCTTTTCTTTTATGTAAAGCACTTTGAATTACCATTGTGTATGAAATGTGCTATATAAATAAACTTGCCTTGCCTTGCCTTGCCTATGACTAAAGGGAACTGTGTTAAGTTTGGTACTGTATCTAGATTTACTTAAGGTGTGTTGGTCCGTATTAAAGTGAATAAATTGAAGTGATGATACCTGCTGTTAACAAGCCAAATAGTGTTTAGTGTTGCCTTTCATTGGGCTCTTAATTTTTTTCAAAGTATTTTTTTCATTTGTAATGTTATTGTATCATAATAAATGTGCTTTATGAACAAACAATAAGTAAAATCAAATGTTTTTGGTTACTTATTGATGGTAATATTGTCAGCATCATGAAGTAGCCTAAATCATTACTTTCAACTTTGTTTTGCCAGAATGTGACCCTGTATGTGAAATCCAGACTAAAGTTTCATAATCTAATGATGAGATTATAAAAGCATTAAAGATTGATTTCAATCATTCATTTCACTATGATTTTAATCTTTGACATGGCCTTAAGCAGTCAATAATAAAGGTATCAAGGTTATATTTTCATATATGTTCTTTACATTATGTAGGATGATTTTATGTAGAAAACAGTAGCTCACCAAAAATGACTTTAAGAAATGAAAAAAAAAAAAAAAAAGTGCTCTTAAAAAGTTTTGTGACAATCAGACACAGACATTAAGAATCAGTGTATGAAACTCAACAATGCTGACAGTCAACAAAAAGCTTCATTTGTTCGCTTTGATGAACAAATGGCTGCGTTTACACTTGGCATTAACATGCGACCTGTATCCGGATGTTGTCCACATTGAAAAGACAAGTGTAAACGCGCCTCTGATTGGAATGTTATCCGATCAGTGTATCCTGGTCCAGAAGTCGTCGAGGACGCATTGTGATCGGATCTCAGTGTAATGTAAAACACCGCCCCCTCTCTCCCGAACTGTCAGAAGAACAGAGCGCTAGTGAGACTCGTACATTTATTTTGATTTGTAAAATGTCCCGCGACTGAAAATAGTTTTCAAAAGAAAACCCACCACTTCAGGTCGACTTTGCACCGCAGACTTATTTAAATATTGCGCAGGAAAGACAGATCCGATCGGTTATCCAGATCGAGAAGTCAGCTGATGTTGCCAAGTGTACACGCGCCGTGTCCTGATTGACTGATGATCCGATCTGCTTGATCAGATCACGGTGATCGCATGTTAATGCCAAGTGTAAACACAGCCTTAGTTAAAACAATGCAAACAAAAAAACTAGCTTTGGATTACAATAACTGATTAAATGAATAGTGTAAATCAGTCGGGCTCACAAACTGTCAAAGATGAACACAAATGAAGAGGAAAAGAAATAAATAGTGTCTCCAGCATTTCTTTTACACAAAGGACTTGCAGTGGGTCTGAATGGTCTTTGAAAACTCTTCATCTTCTTATTGCTCGTTCATAAAAACTAATTGTAAAATTTGCTATAGCACAAATTAGTCAAGACACTTTGAATCTGGATCAGTTGACAGTTTATTGGTTTCCATAGATCATAGAACATAGATCATAACAAAAAGTAAGCCAGGAGGTATTTTTTTTTTATTTTTATTATTCTCCAATTACTAATCTCATATTTTATGCAACAGACTTTGAAACCC